CTATGACAATGAGCAGCAGATTCGTTGTACATGATTTTAATACAGCATGTCATTCCTCTGTTCCTGCACGAGGTGGCCTCGCGTCCGCAGTGCAGCCCCACAGGTCGCTAGGCTGACTGTCCATCTCATGGCAACACAACTGGCAACCTGGGTGGGCTTTGGCGCCTGACGCACTCAGTGAATTTTGGCTGCCTTGTTTTTGTGAGATGCATCTTAGGTGCTAGTTTCCTCAATATGACATCCGTGGTAAAATTATTGTAAATGCAAATAACTAAAGACACATTTCTCATAACCAGAATTAATTCCCGGCCTTACGTTTCTTTTTGTTGCAGAAAAGGAACATTGCAAGTGAGCCTTTTTACATGGTTATTTTAATAAGATTTCGAGAAAATCTTTTCAAGAAGTATTCGTTTACAAAATTGTTTGTTGCGCCACTTTTTACTTAGCCAGCAGGGCGCTCATTCTTGGCTTGTTTGAGCTTTAGAAACCCTCAGAGCCCCTTTAATACTAGTTCCTTGCCCCACCCCTCCCAGGTGCAGTTTATGTGCAGTCCTGAGGACTAATAGGTTCTCTTCTTCCTTGCTGAGTTGCAGGTAGCTGAGAGTGGTAGACATTTGCCTTTCACATGTAAGCTAAAATATTGCCTGATGTTTGCTTTAACCTTCTGATATGGAATAAGGACCCACTGTGTAATATGCATAGAAATCAGTACTAAGTTTTGCAAAAAGAAAATGGTTTAAATTAGACGTGGGTCAGAAAGCTATAGTCTCTGTGACAGGAGAATCATGAGTTCAATTCCAGTCTGGGCAACATATAAACTCCATCTCAAAAAAGAAAAAGAAAAGGTTTTATTGCACTGTCACGGACAAAGAGCTAGTAGAAGCTTAAATTTGCCTCCCCAGTCAGTTGCTGGTAGCAAATTTACAGGAGGGGAGAGGGGGGAAGTTGCTTATAGATTGAATGGCATGAAAGGGGAGTTTGAGGGTTCTTTTATGCAGGCACAGGTGGTTATCATGCCTCTTTACAGATCAAATATTTCTAATAGGGGGTGGTAACATGTTCTGCTCTGGGGACTTTAAGGCTGGGACATGACATTCTAAAGGTCATTGATCAGAGGATCTACTTTGCATATATCCATTCTTGAAAAGACTGTTTCATATGATCCCTAAGTGGAGTCTGTAGGATTTTCCTGAAAGATAGCTTAAGCATTTTGCTATTTAAGGACTTTATCTCTGGGTGTGTCCAGATTCTTAAATGGATTTAATTCTGTTTTCATCTTTTTGTAGAAATTCTCATGCTTTCCTTCCACCATTTCTCTTTCCTGGAAGTTAATAACAGTGGATTTCCCTTCTAAGGGTAGCTTGAAGTGTAAGCAGTAACTTTGATATGAAGCAAGAAAAAAGTTTTATTCTCTCTTCCTTTGGCTGCAAGTATTTCAGGAAGTTCAAAATGAAAGTAAAGAAGACAACAGAACAGACAGCTCATACCACAGTTACATTTGGGGAGAAGATGGCCACTTGGTGACAGGCCAAGATTAGAGTGGTGCTGCTATAAGCAAGGAACACCTGGGTTACAAGAAGCTGGACGAGTCAAGGAAGGGAGACTGTTGGTAAGCTCAGTAATAGAGCGCTTGCCTAGCATTTGTGATGCCCAGTGCTCAGTGCCCAGCGAGACACACACACTCACAAAGGGCCAAGGAAGGATTGTCCTCTAGATTCCTAAAGAATGACCTTGGCCCTGACACCTTGATTTCAGACTTCTAGCCTCCAGAGCTATGAAAGAATATATATAAATTTAAGCCACTTAGTTTGTGGTATAATTGATACAGAAGTTCATTGTGTGAGTATACAATAATTCATTTACCCATTTTATTGTTGCTGGGCATTTAGGTAGTTTCCAATTTGGGGCTCTGATGAGTGGCGGAGCTAGCTACGAGCATTCAAGGAAATCTTTTTGTAGACATAAGCATTTTTTCTTGGCCATATACCCAGGAGTAGAACTGCTAGATCATTGGATATATGCATGCACTTTCTGCTTCAGTAAGCACTGGCAAATATTTTTCCAAAGGTACTGTACCAATTTATACTTCTCCCAGCAATACATGAAAATACTGATTGGTCCACATAGTCACCAATAATTAATGCTTTTCTTTGTAACCATTCTAGTTTCAGATGTATACTGCTATCACATTATGCTTTCAATTTTCCCTTCCCTCAAAGTTGACACTTATTCACATGATATTGAACATTGGGTATTTTCTTTTGCATAGTTCCCATTACGATCTTTTGTTCATTCTTCTATTTGTCTTGTCTCTTACTGATTTGTGGGAGTATTTTTATATTCTAGATATGACTCCTCTGTCAGATATAAGTGTCATGATATTTTCTCCCATTCTCAGAGTGTTTTTTGTTCTAAACTTCCTATAATTAGGTTCCTGATTCCATGGGACTACATTTGTTTTGCCAGCTCTTACAGGGCTTTGTGAGATGTTTGTAACATGGCATAAAACCCAGCTGCTTCAGAGGGACTGGGGCTACCTTGACTTTGAGTATGGGTCTAAGCAATGCTAAGCATGTTTGGTTGCTGATTTTTACAGTTCTATACCTTAACAGCAGGGTAAGATGAAATTGAGCTGGTCACATATGTTGATGGGCTCATTTGTCCTGCTGTTTAACCTTTGCTCCCTGCAGTCTACCAACATAGCTGATCTTCAGGGAAGCATGTCATGATTCTATCTGCAGAACCATCAAACCTAACTCCTCGTTTACAACTTCCTCCTCCTAGGTCCCAGTGGATCTCCTGAGCTAATAAGGAAGATGCTCAGCTCTGTTGAAAACCATTGCCTCTTCAAGCAAAGATGGTTTCTTAATCCATTTTCTGCTTCTATAACTGAATACAACAGACTGGGCTGGGAAGAGCATGGTACCAGCACCGCTCAGCCTATGGTAAGGGCCTCTTGCTGCATCCTAACACATCTCTTCCTCTTCCTATTAAGCTACTCATGTCCTCATGGGGCCCCATCCCCTTGATCATATCTAATCCAAATGACCTCCCAAAGACTCCATCTCAAATCCATTAATGAATGGATTTGGGGATTCAGTTTCTAACACATGAGAGATTGTAACCATAGCAGGTGGTTTTCTGTGTCCTGTCTACTCCACAGTCAAGAACCCAGGCTCTCCCAGGTTTGGCTCTGGATTTGGTTGCCTGTGGTGTTGGTCCGTCTTCCCAGCTGGCTCCAGGTATGGAAAGGTTGAATCTTATTGCATTTTCCTGAGCCAGATCTACTAATATGTCCTGTCCTTGTGACATAGGGTGCATGCCCATCAAACATTAGCTCTTGGGCCAGAAGTTTCCTATTGCCCATATCAGAAGGAATGTCTGTGTCAGAGATCTTTGTACCGTCTGGATGAGATGCCTTTAGGATTCTGTTTTTATTCTGAATTTAGTTATTAGATCACTTAATAGATCCCTTAATTTAAGCTGTTGGTTGATCCTGAAGATGAAGCTCACAGGGGTATGGCATTAGTGTGTTCCACATGTCAATGGCATGGACCAAACATCCATCTCAGTGGCATCCACCAAACATCCCTTGTCCTTTCAATTCTGGACTTTCTGGATTCTCTCACTTTGGTTTCCTTTCTAGCAGTGATAAGTCTCTGTTATGATTGGATTTTGCCCCCTGCAAAGAGTTTACAAGTTAAGGTCCTAACCCTCAGCACCTCGCAATGTGATTTGAATTTATAGATAGGGTCTCTATAGAGGTAATTAGGTTAAAAATGAAGCCTTAGCATAAGCTTGATTCCAACCTGACTGGTGTCCTAGGAGGAGATTAGGACGAGAAGTCAGCAGAAGCTCACAGGCAGACAGAGACACCACATGAGGACACATGGAGAAAATGGCCATCTCTAAGGCAGGAAAGAAGTGGGAGGACTCCAGCCCCTCCAGCACCTTGATCTTGGACTTCCACTTCCAGAACTGTGTGGAAATAACAAGTCTGCTGTTTTATATCACCCAGTTGGTGAGATGTTGTCATAGCAATGCTAGCAAATTAATATAGCCGGTTGAGGTAGTCAACAAAAATCCAGAGAAGATACAAGTCAAAGCATGCCAAAGTCGCCTGGCCACCATTGTACCATTGCAAGTACCGTGTAGCAGATTGCCTCCAATCATCTGGTCACAAAGAGTGCAGCATGATACCAAATAACCTTGGATCATACATGCCCAGGTCAAGTACATCTTAGACATGATAGTACTTATTAGTTTCTCCCACGAATATGGAGAATTGCTTTTGGTAGAATGCAAGCTATATATTTATGATGCAACTTGTACTTTAGGAATATCTCTTCATTTCCTCTGTATTGCTTTTTGAGTGTGTTATGATTTGGTTGTGGTGTGAGATAATGCAAGAAGGTTTGGAGGAGAAATGACTGTGTTATAGCCTTCACCTAATCAGTGAACTAATCCTTGATAGGACTGAGTGGTAGCTGGAGGCAGGTGAGGCATGGCAGTGGGGTATATATTTTTGATCTAGAGAGTGGAGCCCTTTCTCTGCTCTCTGATCCTGATGTGAGCTGCTTCCCTTCCGCCATACTCTTCTGCCATGATGTTTAGCCTCACCTTGAGCCCTGAGGAATGGAGTCTGCTGTCTATGGATTGAGATCTCTGAAACCATGAGCTCCCAAATAAACTTTTTCTCTTTTAAGGTTGTTCTGGTCAGGTCTTTAAGTCACAGCAGACTTGTTTTTGTTTTTAGCTAGAGCTCAACCAGGTACATCCCAGTTTGGATGAAGTCACTTTGACCTGATGTTGTAGGGACAGATGAGGCAAGGTACCCAAGACAGCAGGAAACAGTTTTATTTGGCTGTAGCCAGATTCAGAGGGCACAGTTTTTTCTGTGATCAATCAATCCCCTGAACCCCCAAGTTCGGGTAGTTTCAGAATTTTATACCCAGCACGTAAGGGGAGGGGCTCAGAAGTTCACAGTCTGCAGAAGTTCACATAAAAGCAGCTTTTTCTTTTTCTGTTTTGGGGGCAAGTTAACCCTTCAAGGACAGCACCTGAGAAGGGGGGAGCTTCTTCTCCCCTTTCTCTCCTCCCCCTGCCAGCTGTTACCATGGAGCCCAGTTGGTAATTTCTCTTATCTTAGAAATGTAGGCATCTCTGTGAAGCCCAGCTCAGGGCCAGAGGCCTTGTTTACACATTTCTACAAACTACTTTCCTGGATACGTGTTTGTGAAAAACGAGTAAGGGGGTGTCCAGCACCTGGAGTGCCGATTTCTTCCCGGCCAGTGGCCAAGTAAGACAGGGTGATACGAAAATAGGAAGTTTGTCTACCTTGAACTCATTTGCAGAGACTCTTTTTGCTGACAGTCCCTCAAATCAGCCATGGTGAAGATTTCTGGAGAATCCAGTTAAGACTTTCCCGTGGAGGAAGGGGTGCCACTACACTGATAACTTCATAAGCCTGTCTTCTGACACGAATCGCAGGAACACACGCACCTTGCTTCTATCCAGGACCATGCTTCTGTCCAGAATTGCACTCTGTGCCACCCTAGATCTACCTGTTCCTTCAGTCTCACGGCACCTTGGTGCTGCTGCGGGCCATTGCCAAGTGGGAATGACGCATCGAAACCCTTGCCAGCGTACCCCATGCTAAATGGACTTGCCTTGGAAATCCGCTGTGACCTTGCATGTGTGCTTGAGAAAGGTGACCCTGCTCAAGGACCAGGGTGGATCCAGGATTAGGGTGTATCCTGCAGGTTTGAGGAAGTATCCCAGGTCCTTGGGTTTAGGGCGTTCCCGGTTTAAGACAATAGGAGTTTTAGGGAAGTTGGAGGTTGAAGATTATTCCTGCTGGGAGTAGGGCGTGCCTGCTGCCTGAGTTCCCGCTGAGTTCTCCTGGAGAGGAAGTATTTAGGATGTGAATTGTGCGGGAGATTTGGGATTGCCCCTGAACCTGTGTGGAGGCTGGTGTGAGTTCGGGAATAAAGAATTGCTGTTTGAATCTACAAGTGTGTGGTGACTCGTGATTCTGTGCCAAGCCGAGACCTTGGCACCTTGGGGCTGGTTCTCCTACGGTGGGATCAGTTTGTTCCAGAACACTGGCGGAACATTTCTACAAACTTTTGGAGAATTAATTTGCTAACCTATATTGGAGTCTGAAAAATGGTAATAGACTTTGTCTAAGTTATTCCATTACTTAAAGTCTGTCTTAAAGAGTTCTGGGCATATGGCTCAGTTGGTAGAGTGCTTGTCTCACATGAACAAGGACCTGGGTTCAATCCCCAGCAACACACACACACACACACACATACACACACACACACACACAAATCTGTCTTAAAAAAAATCCAAATCAGGAAACCCTTTGTGTACAAGATATTCAGTACATTTATTTTTAACAGCAATAACCTATAAGTTCAGCAATAAAGAAATAATTAGGAAATTCATGGCATTTTCACTCATGGGAATATTATAGAGCTGTAAAAAATGTTTTCTGAGTTGGGGTATAGCTCAGTGGCAGAGTACTCTCCTAGCATGGACCAGACCTTGGTAGATTCCTCAGCACTAAAAAAAAATGTTATTTACTAACCATTTAAAATAAATATAAGGCTGGGTACAGTGGCACTTGCCTGTAATCCCTGTGGCTTAGGAGGCTGAGACAGGAGGATCATGATTTTAAAGCCAGTCTCAGCAAGTTAACATGAATATAGTGGGCTGGGAAGGTGGCTTAATGGTAAAGTACTTTCCTTACGTGGATAAGGCCCTAGATTCATTCCAGCACGGCAGAAAAATAAGTAAACATAGTAAGTCTTTGTCATGGAATACTATTTAGCAAAAAAAAAAAGAATAAACTATTGTATATGAAACAACTTAGATGAATTTCCAAGGAATTTTGTTGAGTGAAAGAAGCCAATTTCATTAGATCACATATTATATGATTCCATTTATGTAACATTTTCCCCCCCCAAGGTTCCAATTTTTACATATATTTTTTAAAGTTCTGTTCAGTTTTATTTTTTATTGGTTCTTTTGTGTTATACTTGACAGTAGAATCAATTTTGGCTTTTGGTACTCTTTTTTGCTAACATATTAATTGTACATGTTAATGTGGTTCAGTGTGATATTTCCATATATGCATAAAGTGTGCATTGCTCATTCCATCTTCCCCACCCCACACCTTTCCTTTTTTCAGTTCCTAGTAATTACTATTTTTTTTTCAAGTTCACTTTTTTTTGTTGTTGTTTCCATATCTGAGAGATAACATTCAGAGCTTGTCTGGGTCTAGCTTATTTCACTTAACATAATATCCTCCAGTTCCATCCATTTTGCTGCAAGTGACAGGATTTCATTCTTCTTCTTTTTTTTTAAAAAGAGAGAGAGAGAGAGAGAGAGAGAATTTTAATATTTATTTTAGTTTTTGGCGGACACAACATCTTTGTTTGTATGTGGTGCTGAGGATCGAACCTGGGCCGCACGCATGCCAGGCAAGCGCACTACTGCTTGAGCCACATCCCCAGCCCAGATTTCATTCTTCTTTATGGCTATATTCTATTCGTGTGTGTGTGTGTGTGTGTGTGTGTGTGTGTGTACGTGTGTATCACATATGTTTTATTTATTCATCTGTTTCTGAGACCTGGATTGATTCCATACCTGAACTATTGTGAACAGTGCTACCATAAACATGGGAATACTGGTTTCTCTTTGTGTGCCGATTTCATTTCCTTTGGACATATATTGAGGAGTGGGATAGCTTTATCATATGGTAGTTCTATGTTTTTATTTTTTTCAGGAACTTCCATACTGTTCTCCATAATGGCTATATTAATTTACACTTCTACCAACAGTATATAAGAGTTCCTTCTTTTCCACATCTCCTTCACCATGTTATTCTTTGGTATTTATTTATTTTTGTAATGAATATTCTAACTGGGGTGAGGTGGTATCTTGTAGTTTTAATTTGCATTTCCCCGATGGCTTAATGAGCATCTGTTCATATTTATTGTCCATTTGTACTTTTTAATTTAAAATTTTTAATGTATTTCTTTTTTTGAGAAGTATCTACTCAGACCATTTGTCCATTTTTAATTGAATACTTATTTTTATTGTTAAGTTTTTCTGAGTTTTTTAAATATTGTGGATGTTAACCCTTTGTCAGATGAGCAGGTGGCAAACATTTTCTCCCATTTTGTAGGTTCTCTTTTCTCTGTTGATTGTTTGCTGTGCAGAAGGTTTTTAGTTTTATGTCACCCCATTTGTCAATTTTTTGCTTTGGTTTTCTGTGCTTTAGTGGTCCTAACAAAGCATCTAGTTTTGTTCTTTTTGCTCAAAATTGTTTTATCTGTTGAGGATTTTTTTGTCCTTCCAAATGAATTTTAGGATTGCTTTGTCTAGTTCTAAAATCATTGTCTGTGTCAATGTCTTGAAGTCTTTCCCCTCTTTTCTTCTAGTAGTCTCAGTTTCAAGTCTTACATTTAGGTCTTTTATCCATTTTGTGTTGATTTTTTTACAGGGTAAAAGATAGGGGGCAAGTTTCCATATTCTGCATGTAGATATCTAGTTTCCTGGCACATTGGTTGGAGAGGCTACCTTTTTCTAATGTATGTTTTTGGCACCTTTGTCAGGAATTGGTTGTAGATTTATGGGTTTGTTTCTGGTGTCTCCACCATGAGCCAAGGGTATATATGTCTATTTTTATGGCTCTACCACGCTATTTTGTTGACAATGTCTCTGTAGCAAACTAAAGTCATGTGTTGTGATGCATCTCACTTTGTTATTTTTGCTCAAGATTGTTTACGTGTTTAGGATCTCTTGTCCTTCCAAATGAATTTTATGATTGCTTTGTCTAGTTGTAAAAAGAATGTCATTTGTATTTTTTACTGCATTGAATCTGTGGTCCACTTTGGATAGTATACACATTTTCATGATATTAATTCTTCTAATCCAAGAACATGGGGGTTTTCCCATCTTTTAGTGTTTTCTTTAATTTCCTTTGTCAGTGTTTTACATTTAATTATAGAGCTTTTTCGCTCCCTTAGTTAAGTCTATCCCAGGGTCTTTTTATTTATTTATTTATTTATTTGTTTGTTTGTTTATTTATTTATTTATTTATTTTTGTAGTTGTAGATGGATAGAATGCCTTTATTTTACTTGTTTTTATGTGGTGCTGAGGATCGACTGAACCCAGTGCCTGACGCATGCTAGGCAAGCACTCTATCACTGAGCTACAGCCCCAGCCCTGGGTTTTTTATTTTTGCTTGGCTATTGTGGCTGGGATTATGTTCAGGATTTATTTCTCAGCAAATTCATTATTGGCATATAAAAAGCTACTAATTTTTGTATGTTGATTTTATATCTCACTACTATATTCAATTTATTGGTTCTTAAGCTCCTTTAGTGGAGTCTTTGGGTTTTTTCTATGTATAGAATTATCTTATCTACAAACAGGGATAATTTTGCTTCCTTCTTATTGTTATGCTCTTTATTTCTCTCTCTTACTTAATTGCTCTAGCTAAAACTTCTAGCAGTATATTGAATACAAGTGATGAGAGTGGGCAACTTGTCCTGTTATTTAATCTTAGAGGAAATTCTTTCACCTTTTCCCATT